CATGCTTTTTTCTGTGCACTCAGCCGGTGCCGCGTGCTACCGAAGCGCGCACACACAGAGAGAGAGAGAGAGGCGCAATTCAGACACAGCGTGATTCCTTTTTTTACATACACACAAAGTTATGTTAAAATAGCCGCTTTGGCAAGTATTCTAGTAAACGCAGTCGGTTATTTCTAAGTGAATGTAAACAGGTGAGAAAGAAACCGGATGTGTGCCAGTGTATTAGGCGGGCTGTGCATTTGGTCTTAAAGCTACAGCAGCCAATTAATACCCGTTTCTGTCTGCTAATCAAGTAACACCACAGCTCTAACAAAGATTAATCTGTATTTAACTTGTGCAGTGAGCACTATTGTGTTAAACTTAATTATTATTATTTCTGCACCTAAATTCTGATATTTGTAACTGTGATTTGTTGTTTTCATCTATGCTTGTAATTTGTGTAATTGTTCTTGTTTTAATACTAACTTTATTAGTTAAGCTAGTAGTTTTTTTCTATGGTATAGAAGTACTTAAATTATTTTTTATTTTTTTGCTGATCCAAAAAAATGATCCGATCCCCGACTCAAAATCCGTATATGATTCGAACCGTGAATTTTGTGATCCGTTGCACCACTACTAAACAGTTAAAGAACTATAAAAATTATGTTTGCGCTTGAGGGCGACACACTTGACTGCAGAACACACTTTAAATTAATTCTCCCTATTCACTAAAAGACAATTATGGCCATCTTTTCTTTCTAGACATTTAAAAACAGACAGGCTTCTTTACATATAAAAAGATGTTGTCCACATTTAATGTTTTTTTTGTTTGTTGGACGTTGAGAGGCTATGAGAGGGTAATTGGGCGCAGATCAAGGTGGACATCCACTGGTGATCTGGAATTCTGTCTTATGTCTCACTGGGTGGGTGATATCCTGCACTACCGGCCCTTACGGTAAAAACGATTCTCCAGTGTATCCCAGTAAACAAGAGTAAATTTCCATACCAGGCCACTGCTCATCACCAGCTCCAATTGTCCAATAAACAGAAACTTAATAATTGTTCCTGGCAGGGGGGCAGCACCAGCCACTATTGACCCGGTGTGTCATTTATGAGGCAGCCAGGCGGCGTTCAGTACTTCCTGACTGTCTAGGGTGGGTTGTTTCCTTGGCACTTTGAGTGAGACAGACGGGAACATACAGTGTGTTGCCAGACAAATACAATTTTCTCCCCCATTCACTTCTTTCATAAATACAAAAATGAGCCAGGGGTTTGCTTTGCCATTTCCTAAGCTTGAGTTTGCTTAAAAGGATACGTCACCCAAAAATGCAAATTCTATCATCATTTACTCACTTTCATGTTGTTTTGACCCAATACATTTTTTTTTCCAAGGCAGAAATTAAGATGTTGTTCATAAAATCTCAGACATTAGTGTCCCTCCACTGAAAGTCCATTACACCAAAACTTGACATTATAAAAGTAATCAATATAAATGGACTAGTAACCCTTATTTGCTTTAAGCACAAGAATAAAGCTTATTGGTTCTTGCATGATACACAAGAACAAACCTCATTGGTTCTTGTGCATCAAGCAGGCATGTTTGAGCTTCATTTACCATATTTGATGTGCTCCATGTATGTGTGTTGATCCTATTTATATGTGAATAAAAGCCTAAATTAAATCTGTTCTTCATATAAAGCGATCATCTCTCTTCAGAAGACTTGTTTGTTTTTGTTACAATATCTTTATGAACTCTGTGAAGCACTGAAGATCTGGCGTAATGGTCTTTCAATGGAGAAACAGAAAACTGTCACATTTCAGTAAAAACATTCATTTGTTTCATTGCTAAATTAAAGTCTTTAGAGTTTGGAATGATGTGAGAGTAAGTAAATGGTGACAAATTTCAGTTTTGAGTGAACTATCCCTTTACTTTGCACTACACACATTTGCAGACTTGCGAAATTCTCTGAAACTTGATTGTACACCTATTACAGGACTATTATTCTGAAAATAAACATATTAGGGAAACTCAAATGTGTGTTAACTGCGGTATTGCTGCATGCAGCTGACAACACAAGCCTCAACAAGTTCATGGGCACCTGAAGCATGATGGAGCAGACAGTATGACGTCAAAGTTGTTACACAATTTTAAACCTGTTACCAGGATTTGGGACACAATCTGAGTGCCCATGAATGAGTGTGCAGGACCTTAGTTAAAAATGATAGTGATTTTATCAGTGCCATAAAACAATACTAAAAGGGTATGACATTCTTTTATAGGCAAAATATCCACAGGAAGAGAAAAAAAATAATTTAGAGAACACCTGCTCCTGATATGAAACAAAATATTATGTGAGTGCATGTTAAAGTCTGTTGCAAAAAAGGCAAAAAGGAGCAGCAACTCTTACCACATCACTGGCACTAGAGAAGTCATTGTTAAGCAAACTCTCCAAAGCCATCCAGCGAACGGGTCGGTTCTCATTGTCTCCGAGGCAGTGGTAGTCCATGGGGAAGAGATCACGGGCCAGCGCATTGTCTGTGATCTTCACTTGCATACTGTTATCAATTCTACAAAAATAAATTAATTAATAAAAATCTTCAGATATAAGACGTCTAAACAAAATATACATGCTAATCCGTTTACATGTTAATGCAAACAGACGGTAAAGAATGCATAGAGAGAGAATAAATAAATAAATAAATACAAATTAAATGCTTTACGGTCAAATCAGTATTTCATTTGTTTATTTATTTGGCAATGACCAATGACATAAATGGGATAACGCACATCTGATTAGTCATTATCATAATAATTGCAATAATGACTATTAGACTGTACGTTATCTTTTTTTTTAATAGCCAATGCCAATATGTAACACTTGGTGCAGCTGTATACTCCTGTGTGAAGGACAGCTGATGTAAAATGGTAAATAGTGGGAGAACTTGAGGTCAAATGGCACTTACACACAGTTTCTGGCAGCCAGGTCTTTGTGAATAACCTCCCTCCGTGACAGATAGCTCATCCCACATGAAATCTGTATTGCCATGTGGACCAGGTCTTGTTGAGAGATGGCCTTTGTGGGTAAAACAAGAGAGAGTGGACAAAATTATTATGTGACCAAGAAGACATTGTAAGGGTCACTGGGAGTCTAAGAAATGTAGTACATTTTAATGTACTAGGCCCAGCAAGAGAAACCAAAAGCAGGACACATGACGAGTGGGTACACAGATGCTCGTGGTTACGGTTCACCTCTTAGGAAACCAGACTTGATGGAGCAACAAGTTCCTCTGTTGAATCTCATCTGGTATGAAGAGTTTGACGTCTGATGTAATGACAGTTACCTCACTAAACATAAACATCCTCTGCACCTAGATGCAAAGCCAAACACTAACGCTTTAACTCTTTAGAGGGAGTGGCTCAACTTCAGGCATCCTTGTGTAATCTATCTAGAGTCAGATACAACAAGAAAGCCTGGGTGCTAACTGACAAGGTCATAATCTTCTCTAAATGAAAGGCTTTTCAGATGAACTATACACAAGGCTTTAGAACAAAATAATTGCAGTGTATGACAAACTCGGGTGTCACATGAGTTTGATGGTGCATGCTCATTCCTGTTTGTTCAGTGTGAATTTGGTTAGAGTGATTTAGACTGAAAGAGAGAATGTAGTACATGTAGCAGGTAGGGATGGGTCAATGAGAGTGTCTAGTAAATCTCAACCTTTTCTTTTTAGCTGTCATGCCTTAAGGGGGATCAATTTAGACACGTAACTTCTCTGAGAGGGTGCTTTAGTGTGCCAACAGTCTAACAGCAAGTGTATGACTGTCAACACGCTAAACCCCTCTTTGAGAAGTCAAGACTCTAATTTATTCCTCTTTGCAAATCACTTGAAAGCAATGATTTAGTTTCATTTAGAAATGCACAGATATTAAAATACTAATAAGCTGATAATTATTTTACGACCAATACTCAATAAATGGCCAATATTACAGTGTAAAGTAAAAAAAATAAAAATAAAATGCTAAAAAAACAAAAAAACAAGTGAATTTAAGCATCACATTTTTTAAATGTACAATATGGAAAATATTCATTTGACTGTAAAGGTAATCTATATACATTTATAAACAGAAGAAAAACATGTATAATTAAATATACAACACTTGCTGATATACAATAGTTTAAAAGTCTATTCTCACCATGGCTGTGTTTATTCAATCAGAAATACAGTAATATTGTGGAATATTAGTATAATTTAAATAGACTGTTTTCTGTTGTAACATTTTAAATTGTAATTTCTTCTTGTGATGGCAAAGCTGAATTACTCCACATTTCTGATTGGTCATGTATATATAACACAATACAGAACAACCCCAATACATCATGCATAGTTTATGCAGAAAATCTATACCCCATTTATTTGATTCCTCTGCATTCAAGCATTCAGTCATTTATATTTATTTATTTTATTAAATGCTGGTCTATGTGCAGACAAACATTTTAGTCGATATATGTTGTGCTTCCCTAGGGTGTTAACTTTTTCAAACGGGTCTCAAAATTCTTGCATACTGCTCCATTCAGTCTGGCTCCGTCAAGCTGTTTGATCAGCATCTGGTGGACAGGGTACAAGACCCTAAACCAGCCTAATTATACAGTGCTTCCTTAAGACTGACTAGTCATTCACACAGAACCATTTTTAAAAGTATGTCGTTTTGCACACCCTTAGAAGGCAGCAAACAGACATACATCTAAGATTCAGTTCAGGTGAGAGGTGAAAATTTTGGCAGTAAAAACTACAATAAATCATCCACTTTCAATGTCCAAAATGCAGGGTGTTATCTAAAGCATGGGTAGTTTACATAACTTATGTTTTATAAAAAAAAACAATTGTGCATTGAGGCAGGAAGTATAACAACACTGTCACAACAAGCTTGGTCTTGAAGAGGAAAAACTGATAGCTTAAAGCACCCAGCTAACCATTTTAAGAACTGGTCTGGTCATTTTACACTGGTCTGACTGATCGAATATAGAGCATGTAATCTTGTCTTTGAAGCGGGTTCAGTGGCAGCTGAATGAAAGATCGCCCAGGGTTAACATCACAAAGGCTTGATTGTGAACAGTACACCACCGTAAAGCACCTATCATAGAAAGATCACTCGATGTTGATTGAGGATCTGCACAATGAATTCACTGTTCAGAAAAAAGCAATTAAATCAGGATAATCTGAATACTCCAGGTGTTCTGCTGGAGGGTCTCTAATATAAACACCTGCCTCAGAATGATTTATGGCTAACACTAGGAGTGTCATTGCGCTACTTAATATTAGCTGAATTTACACTACTCAAAAATCACACTCTGCACAAACGTGGATGCAGTTTAAATATTGCATGTTAAATACCCCCCCCCCCCCACAATAAAAAAAAATAAC